TGTTGATGGAACTCATTTGAGTTGCGATCAATCTTGGGAAGGAATGAAAGTTGAAGTGGGAAGCATGTCTTTGCAAGAGGTTGGTCGTGTCCTCAAGCAAAACGAAGCAACGCAGCTTTGTAAAGAATGGGATATTGTGCCAATAACCTGTCGTTGGGTCTCCACTCAAAAAGACGCTGATAACGTTCGTATGCGTATGGTTGCTCGAGAGATCGCACGTGGACAACTTCATGCCAAGGATTTGCAAATCTCATCTCCAACATCGTCGATCGAAAGCCTGAGACTCATGCTCTCAGAAGCCGCAGTCCAAGACCTCACGATCTTGGGTCTCGACGTAAGTGCAGCATTCATGGCAAGTCCCTTAGGCCGTAAACTTGGGAAGCGCATTCGTGTCATTCTCAAATTCCCTCCAAACATCACACATAAGGATGGATCCCCAGTTTTCTTGGAAGCATGGAAAGCCATCAACGGGCTTAGGTCCAGTGGCCGTGCTTGGGTCGATCACCTTTCAGCTTTGCTTCAGAGGCTCAACATTGTGCCATCATCAGTTGAGTCAACCGTGTTTGCCGGAGAGATTGATGGTAAGAACGGCAAAGCGTGGGTTCAGGTGGTTGCCTATGTCGATGACCTTTTGGTCTTCTCAGCTTCCAAGGAGCATGTCTATGCTGTGTATGATTTCTTGTCAAAGCACTTGAAGATCAAAATAACCGGGTCTATTCTTTCAAGTAAAGAAGGGGGTGGCAAACTTCGTTTTCTTGGACGCAATATCGAAAGAAGGGCGAATGAATCTAAGATCACTGTGCACATTGATGAAAACTATTTAGATTCTCCTTTTGAAGCTTTCGGAATTGTTCGTGGAAGTGATTGCCCTCCAGATTTGAGACCAATCCTTGACAATGAAGAGAAGTGTGAGCCTCTGTCGACTGAAGCAGCATTGCGTTACAAAGCAGCTCTTGGAAAACTTTCGTGGTTGTGTCAAAGTTTAATGTTTTTAGGCATTTACATCACTTTGCTGGCCACTGGCATGGCCAATCCCGAACATCGTCACGAATTGGCCCTCCGAGCTGTTCTCAAATGGCTATTTAGTCAGAGAAGAATCGCTCAGCATTTCCCTAGTCCGGAGTCCACATTCGATGAGCAATCATCCAGGAATCTTGTGGTCTTCTGCGACGCATCCTGGGCACCATTGAGATGCCTGAAGAGGCGCTCAATAACAGGAAGTGCGATTTTCTACAAAGGAATCTTTGGTCAAAGGATTCTCCAGGGTCCAACAAGCCGTAGCACTTTCTAGTTGTGAATCTGTCAGCATTGGCCGATGCATGTCAAGAGTCATTAGGAGTAAATAAGATCTCGAAGCATCTTTTCTTGGGTATCGATAATGATATGCGTGCAATCCATGAAAGTTTCTTCGGGTGCAATCAGGTGTTTCATCTTGCATCGTTCCTGTTTGCTGCCAAAGCCCAAGCTGATTCGACTGTGTCCCAAAGTGTTGAACAACCCGATGCTATCATCGAAATGTATTGCGATTCTCAGGCTGCAATCCGGATACTCCAAGCCAGTGGGCTTCAGAGGCGATCAAGACACGTCGAATTGCGTGTTTATTTTTGTCAAGAGCTAGTCAAGCAAGGTAAGATTAAACTCAATTGGATCGATGCCGGAGGTCAAATTGCTGATGCATTGACCAAGACGCTAGGGGCAAAGCTCTTTCATCGATTCGTTGTTCTCATGGGGTATCTTGAAAGGAGTGAACTCTCCACTGAAGCATATGCACATGAGCTCATTCTCAGGTCTCAGATCCGTACCTCGCCCGCCAAGTCCAAGTCCATGAAGTCTCAACAGGTAGCATACTCGGATTTACTGCCGAGCAGTCATTCCGGAGTCCCTGCAAATGAACCAAAGGAAAATTCTGCCAGTTCTGTCCCTGATATGTTGCCGGGCAGCCCATCTAGTGTGTCAGAACCTGAGGCCATCCGAAGCTTGTTGATTGACGCCAGATCCATATCGCAAGTTCGGGCACCAAGATTCGAGAACATCTTCTTGGAGATTTGCTGTGACCGCAATAGCCAATTGAGCAACATAATGTTTAAGATGTGTCCCCACAACTGGTTGATCATCAGAATCACGGAGGATAGTCCTCTTGAGGTCCATCAGCCAGAAATCATCCAGCTGCTTTCGAGGCACAAAGGTTTCAGTTTTTCCCATTGTTCACTGCCGTGCACAGGAGGTAGTAACATTCAGAATCTGAATAAGAATGAATCCTTGAAGCAGCATCGTCATGACACATTCTTCCATTTGCTCAGTTTGTGCGAGAAGATTTGTGCAAGTTCGAGTCACTTTTCTTTTGAGTTGCCTAAGAGAAATAACTATTGGAAGAGTGAACAGCTTCACAAGTCATTGAAGAACATTGGAAGAAAATTGTTCTGTGAATTCCCAAAGTTGTGTTCTTTCGATGTGCCAGTCTTCAAAGTTTTCTTGTGGGTTGGATCGCATCCCACAATTGTTCGTAAGTTCTCGAAACATGCAAAAGAATGCAGTTGTTCGTATCACCTCCCATTCAACTCAGTCGATTGGACATCTACCGGCCGCTATCCAGAGAATCTTTGCAAGGTCATTGCCAGTGGAGTGATCTCCATAAGCCGCGCCGAGCCATCAGCATCGGGAGGTGGATACATCATGTTTGAGCCAGGGTGGAATGACATTTTGTTCAGTGTGCCGAATCTCGTCAGTCACCCAATTGATAGCTCTAACTGAATCAGTAGCCATGCCGTGGGATTGTTTTGGTGAGTACACCCAAATTGTCTTGCAGCAGAAGCCAAATATATAGTGGGATTGTTTTGGTGAGTACACCCAAATTGTCTTGCAACAGAAGCCAAATATATAGATATATGAACCGATAAGTTTCCGCTCAAGCTTTAACGCAAAGCCTGATTTCTGTTCCCAGTGGATGTTGGCTGAGATCATGTTTCTCATGGTGCTATTGCAGGTGATGACGTTGTGCTGTGTTTTGACACGGCAAGATCGCAGCTCGAACAGAGCTGGACATCGTTCACCACGAACGCCAAGATCTCGTTCATCAAGCCGCCGTCGTGAGCGTAGCACTTCTCGAGATCAAAAAGATGATCAGGCCGAATCCAATATGTCTGAAGCACCATCCGCATCTTCATCAAGAGGTCGCCGCCGGAATCTTCCTCTATTGAGTTTGGAAGATGAGCCCCAGATCCATGAACGCCATTCAACAGCTGCCATGCCTAATGTGCCGAAGACAATGCCCGATGAGCTGCAGTCAAGGTACAATATGTACAAGGGAAGAAAGCTCTTGAGCGTCGAGTCTACCGGAAAGGTTCACCTTCCGAGCTGTGGTTCGTTGAGGCGTAGCACCAAGACCGAGGAGGTCTACATGTGCAGTGCATGTTTTGGCCGAGATCTTTTGAGCGTCAACAAATATGGCATGAAGATGGGCATTCAGAACCATGTCTGCCATGCAGTCAATGCAATGGACCAATGTGAGTGTCCACGCTGGGGCCCGATCCTTGAGCGAGTTTGTTGCAAGGTTTGCATGCCTCCCTGTCAAGCTCCGTCAAAAGCATCTGGAGCCGGATCAGGATCAAATGAGCGATACTCTATGTAAAATTAGGATGGTACATGCAGACCAAATTAAGCTATCACCACGATTGCCAAAGCTTGGATAAATGATGAAAGAGTTCAATGCAACTTCATGACCAAGCCTTCAAAATCGTAAGTTCTAGACGTTGACATAATGTATATGCTGTAAACTCCATGACCGAATAAAGCAACGGCATTTGTGGTCAGCGTCCGTTCCTTTTTGTTTGACAGTTGATGGCCAATTCCAACTGAAAAAGAAAGCAGTGCTTTGATGCAGTTCGCCTTCCGTCGTCCGCCAGCATTGCTTAGTGTTCTAAATAATACATAATGTCCTCAAGCTTGTCCGTGCCAGGTGATGAAACGCCATCACTGTTCGGGCCAGAAGCCAAAGTGGTCAAGTGAACGCCTTCTTCGGTTGAGCTTTCAGCTTGATTTGTCAGTGAAATATTCTCAGAGCTTTTCTTAGGTGTGACCTTTCTGAGCGTGCCTGAGCTCCGGTCACGACTTTGATAAAGATCTTCAATGAATCTCAGATAAGATTGAACTTTCGAATAATCTCCTGTATGTGCAGTTATTTTTTGACGCCAAGCATTTTGTTCGCAACTGTTCCTCAAATGACGGTCACAAAAGGGGGTGTGGAAAGTTGAAATCACTCGTGATCCAGCCATTTCCAGTTGTGACCGTGAAGGTTACTATGCAAGTTTTGGGAGTCTATGAGTTGAAGCTCTAGATATCCAGAAGGTCGCCAATGTGGCCATTGTCAACCTTCGTTGTGGATGGATTCCCAACCATGGTGCACGGATCAACCGATCCTATGCCTGCATTGGCTCAAGGCCGAGCCATTCGTCGTTCGAACGCATGACATGAGTCAGCGAGAAAAGGTGCGATGTGTGTTTGGGTTCGGGTCATGTCCCATGTTCCCTTTCATGCTTCATGTTAGGTTCCCCACATGTTCCAATCTGGTTCAGAAATTCCGCACCGGGGGATTTTACGAGCTTCTTCCTGGTGCCAGAATGAGAAGGTGATTCTTGGGTGATTTGGTGATTGGGGAGACAAGAGCGATTTCACCACAAATGTTGGGATTGCTGGGGGAATCTGGGGGATACTTGGGCTAAGGAAGTAACCAACACCTTTCGTACCTGTGTCTGAGCTCGTTCCTCAGCAGGTGCTGGCCTACAGAACACCTCGTCTACTCATGGCAACTTCTAAACTGCATAGCACAAAGCGGGGCCCATTTGTTCGACCGTGCGTCCCATCCCATGCGTTTGTACATCACTAGCCTATCAAGCGTATCAAGTGGGCATGGATCTCTTGGTAGATTGGATTAATCTTGCCTACACAAGCAAAACAAACACATGTTACAAGGATAAGGCACTTCCTCTTGTTCTCCAAGACACCTCATTTCGGATATCATACCCGATGACCTGCGGCTGGTGCTCGTAGCGCTTCGCCATCATTACCCAATCCTTGGAAGAAGACAAGGAAGACTTTACGACACGATGAAACAAACAAGTTGATGAACAACTGCGCCATCAACGCAACCCTTCTGTTTCAATCATGTCCAACATCGTCGAAGCTTCCAACTGCCCAACACTGCAGTCCTGCACAGTAGTGGTTTGCCATTCGGTAGTCAGTGTTCAGTAGTCAGTGCTTCATAAGGAGGCAGTATGGGCTTCTATTATATACACTCATGCAAATACACACCTTTAAAGTCAAAGGAAAGAGGGGAAGCCTCAAAGCACCAAATGAAAGCCCTAGTGTATGCAAATCAACCGCAGAAACTTGTCCTCTGCATGCTAAGGCATACGGTACCTAGACCCCGCAAAGGACGTCCGTTTTCCGGTGAAGACAATTTTCAGGCGAAGCTCAAAAAGGATATGCAAGAAGCAATTTTGGGGTTGATGTTTGTTACTTCTGCGTTATTGTTTGTCACTCCTGTGTAATTTTGGTGCAATGTTTTAAGAACTTGTTGCATCTTTCTGCATCATGCTTTCAGGTGAGACGGATCAATGACATCTTTTCAGGGTCCAGGTATATATATATATATATATTGGTTTGAAGAGCTGTGTGAAAAACCACATCACTTCCCTTTTCTTCCAACTACTTCTGAGGATTGCAGCTGGATCCGTCGGGAGTATAATCCCGTTAAACACTGCCTGGAATCATCATGGAAGTGGCAAACCACCAATTAGTAGAGGAACATAGCGGCATAACACTTGCATCATGTTGATATTGTCATTTTCCATTACCTACTGAATCACCAAGGGGGGTTAACGGAGCGGGATCGATCCGTGCGATGTGGTGTAGAGGAAAGTGGTCATCCAAAAGGGCCATGCCTCCACTTCCATGATGAATCCAGTGTGTATTACAGCTTCTTGTTACTAAGAATGCTCCTAGTAGCGTCCTTGTTCCTAGTAGCGATGCCCGGGTTCCTAGTAGCTTCTTGCTCCTAGTAGTATGGCCAGGAGCCCCTAGTAGCTTCTTGTTACTATATAACTTTTGTACTCAATCATCTTTGCACCATAAATCTCCTTAGATTCCCTAGGTGATTGGAATCCTTCACACCTCCCACATCTAACCCTCACTCCCGGCCACTGTATTCTTCATAAGAGCAACGCCCGACAGCAAAGACCGAACAGCAATGCATGTGGCTCCTATGACACTTCAGCATCAACAGGCACGCGGGTATCGGATATCTGGACAAACACCCATCCTGAGAGGCTCCTATGCCGACCTTCGCTCTTAGGTTGGAGGCCATTGCTATTAGGTTCTTTCCCCGAGGCGCCCGGTTGGCTCACCGCGGACGGGGGGCGTCAATCCAGGACTGCTCAGTGTAGATCTCACACTGGTTGCCTCACTGCGCTGAACACTGTGGCCGCGCGATGATTACCCCGGTCGTTTCACCGCAGGTTTGCGTTCACTCATGCGCCATGCACTACCGAAATCCAGAATGATATGTGAATTGCAGATGAAGATGCATGCAATTTGGTGGTGTCCAGGTGATGTTTCTGAGCTCCAGAACAAGAAACATGGGAAGGACCAAATACACTGGTTGGTGCAAGTGTTTTGAACAATGTAGTCTAGTCGTGTTTTCTAGTCGTGTTTTGAACTTGTTGTTCTGCTGGGCATCTGCACAACCTATGAAATGATTAGGATCAGCCCACAAGGGAGCCACCCAACACGCGCTGATCAGGTGCCTTTGCGCCTCTGACCTCCCACCTTTCCTTGCAGTTCCCGATTTCCAGGATCTTTGCCCATTAAACCCCAAAATCAAACATTGGAGGCCATTGCTATTAGGTTGGAGGCCATCGCTATGTGTGTGTGTGTGTTTGTTTGTTTTGTTCCTCCCTGGAACACCTTCCGATCGCTCCGGGTGGCGAAACCACATGCCGTTCAACTCGACGCCGCCACTCCAAGCACCCACCGTGGTGTGATTGTTAATCACGACCTCGGCGCCAGGCAGGGAGGGTGGCACGGCACTGATTCTACGTGCCATGACGCGCATAAAAAACAACTGGGGAGCACTCCCCCTGTTGGCTGGAGATTTTGGGTGTTTATTTGGATGATCTGCTGGGACTAAGTGCGGAACTCGATTTTGAGCTAAACCTGAACAAATGGTCAGCGACAAAAATAGCTGCTTCTGCAGGGCTAGAACAAAATTTCAACTTGAGGACATCCCTGCAATGATTCATGTTCTGCCTGAACTAAAGCCCGATCCACAACTGATTAGGATTTGTTTGCTCTGTTGTTAGCAAAACCCCTATACTTTTTTGCAACCTCGGTCTTGGTTTGATGGCGCTAACATCGCCCTGGTCACTGTCAGCGCCAAGGCACGGTCACACCTGCAGCGCCCAACTCATCGATCACACGATCGTAGACCTGACGTCGAAAACGATCGAGTTTCGGCTCTGAGGCTCAGGGCCACGGCCATCCCGTTCAGTGAATGCACTGGCTGTCCTTTCTTACGTCCTTTCAAACACTGCTACAATCATGTCCAATGGTGTGCCCTAGAACGTTTGTGGTCAATGAACCTCAGAGCCAGGGCGCTTGCAGGGGCGAAAGTCCTTCCAGGTCTTTGTTGATGTTATAATCGATGGCACCTGCTGGCCCGTCCCAACCACGAGACAGGTGTAGAGACGTTTTTTGGAGACGGCAGAAGTTTGGACCATCAAAGACACATTGGCCATCCCTTTTAACACCAGGCATGGATTGCCATACTCATGGAGAATCTGTTTGAACCACATGGAGAATTCTTCTTTGTAACCACTCTGAATGTCCATGGTCCTGAGAATCGAGACAGAAAGCATTGGCCAGTGCTCCAACAGCTTGCTGCCAAGTTCGCCGTAATCAAACGAGGTACTTGTGCCCGATATTCAAACCAAAACATTGTGTGAATTAGTGAGACCCCAGGTCTTGGGTGGTCTACCTGCAACTACCTGCCTCCCACAGCTGGTTTGACACCATACATGTCTTTTTGAATCCTTCCGCTCTCCTCCCCCCAGGCGACGACTTGGACCGTGGCCTTCTGGGACACCGTCAATTCGCAGCATCTCACCTGGCTTAGCTTCTAGTACTTTGGTTACTGCTAGCAATGGCCTCCAACCTAGCTTCTTGCTACGTTGCACGGATACCGAACAGTTGACCGGTTGGACGAGCCGCTCGCTACGACTGTTCGGGCTCCTGGGTTACGACCGGGGGCGCCGGCGCATTGGGCGATGTTGGCGATGTTGGCTCGGTGGGGAAGTCTCGGGACTGTCACCCTAGTAACTAGAAGCCAATAGGAGCGTCCTTTGCTCCTAGTAGCGCTGCCAGGAGCCCCTAGTAGCTTCCTCGCTCCTAGTAGTAAGGCCAGGAGCCCCTAGTAGCTTCTTGTTCCTAGAAGCCACTAGATGGGAGGCCATCGCTCTTAGTAACAATATATAAATCTTTCCAGTAACGATGGTTTCTTGTGATACTGCCCGTCTCGGCGAGACTGTGATCTTTGACACAGCCTCCGCAGACTTGGAGAAAACATAATAGAGGAGAAATCTTGTATTCCTACTGTGCCTCTTAAGGCTATTTGGCCACATGACATTAATTATATATACACAAATCAAACCAAAACATGTTCAGGTACCAGGTACCAGGTACCACTGTGATACATAATGTATATATATAACAACTATATATATATATACATAATATGGCTTTGTTTACAGACTGAGGCTCCAGTGAAGCACATCTTAAATATTGCCCTACAGATCCCTACAGCACGTAAACAACCAGCATCATTCCAATCAAGTTGATTGCGACTCAAAAGCCTCATAAGAAACTTGACGCTCTTGCTGTACTGAAGAGTGCTTCATTGCTTCAGCACGTCAAGAGCAGAACACCCAAGAAGTTAAAACATCTCCCTTGAAACAAGGAGGAGCGTCAGCTCCACTTCGTCAACTCATTCGTCACATTTCAATCCGTCTCACCATCTCATTTCAACAAAGAACATCCAACTGATTGACACTAAGTCGATCCATTCTGATCGATCCTCCTGATCCCTTCTTCCGACCCATCCGCCAGTCACATTGATGTTTTTCGCCCTGCTCCAAGCCGCTGGAAAATGGCAAGCGCACCACCGTAAAGCCCATTGCCGCGATGGACCGACACAGCTCCTCGGCACGCAGTTGGGCAGGTTTGGGGGGGTCGGTTGCCCCTAGTAGCGTCCTTGGCCCTAGTGCCGATGCCCTTTGCTCCTGGTAGCGTTCTCTTGCTCCTAGTTGCATGATTCGAACGGGATGGCCGTTCGAAGGCGTAGCGAAACGCTGCCTGCCTTCCTTTGCATCAACTGGGTTCAACCCTATTCTGAAAACAAGAAACTCAACCCAAGAAACTGACATTTTAGCTCCAATGCACCAAACGCCCGACCTCTTTTCCCTTTCTCTAAGAGATTCGACCTTGAAATCCAGGTAGATGATGTCATCCACCGCCAAACATTCGTCGAACGTGTCCCGAACTCCCCCGGCACCTCTCCCCCATCTCTCGCCCAGTGGCGGCTAACGGACGCACATCGAGACCACCCACCTAGCGTCAGGAGCCGTGCCCTTTGCTCCTAGTAGCGTCCTCTTGCTCCTAGTAGTAAGGCCCACGGCTGATAGACGGCCGTGGTGTTTTCTTGCATTTTTATTGATTTTTTGTTTTCTACGCCGTCGTTTTGCATGTTTGCTTGAGGGGGATGTGGATGCTACGTGTGGGAATGGGGTGGGGGGTGGGGTGGGGTGGGGTGGGGCATGTTAACGTTCGGTTGCACTTGCTGCATGAAGTTGATGCTGCGTTCAGTTGCTGCGCCAAAGCTTGACCTATGCCACACCGGCTCAGTTCTTGCGCCGCTTGGAGGAGCTCTTGTGAAGACTCAGACTGAAAAAGTCACAACTTTTTCCGACGGCCCAATTAGTTACGTAGTTTCCAAAATGCTTCGAAATCAGCATTTCGCCTCAGCGAAACTCTCATTTCAGGCAAATCTGCTTGGAATTGACCATGATTCCACTGATGAAACGTTGGGCACATCATTCCTGAAGGAATTACGCGCATTTCGACATGCTTAACCCACGACCATCATTGATTTACACCACGGCCGTCTATCCGCCGTGTACCTAGTAGTTTCTTGTTACTAGTAGCGATGTTGGGAGGGTCTAGTAGCGTCCTTGCTCCTAGTAGCGATGCCCTTTGCTCCTAGT